GGATGTCTCACCGTCTCCTTTTTGTTACGTCCTTCACATGAGCTCCTTGCGTTGTTTCCTGGTGGAGAATCTATAAAAAAAGGTCTGTTTTCGATCTTTTTACAATTCCAGTCGTGTGACCGGACATTACATCCAATAACGCAGCAATTTCGGACCATTGCTAAACTGTTTTAACCTACTTAGATTTTTTTTTAAAAGTCAGTGAGAAAGCTTGTTTTCGACAGTTAATATGGAGGGCAATAAAAATGGCGGATGCGGCCCAATTCTATCCCATCAGCCACCGCGCCACGGACAAGTGAAGTCACGCTCTAAAGCTCTATACATAAAATGATTTTAAAAATAGTTTCCACCGTCCATCACAGACCCGTCCCGGTCCGCCTGTCTGCCAGGATCGGGGTTTGGCCTTCATGATTACGCGAGGTCAGGGTCCGGGCAACTGCCTTCTGTGAGTCAGCAGCACGAGTCAGCAGCCTGCAGAGCACACAAGGCCGGGATCCGGAGCCCGAGCTCCAAGTTGACACCACAGAGGATCTTCCAGGGTGACCAACAGAGCTCAGAGCCAGGGACATGACGCCCTGCCCGGCCTGGCTCTCGTGGAGAGGGCCGGGGAGACTGGTGGAGCTCCATCTAGCTTGATCTGAATTTTGTCGTCAGCCACCAAACACAAAAAACGCCTGCACTTCTGCATTAAACACGGTGCTGTCATTATCGTTTTTAAAACCTTTAAAATAGGTCCAGCCGCTGCTCCGGGTTCTGAGAAATTGCAAATGAAGGATCAGTGTGAAAAGGCTTTGAAAGATCTAGTGACTCCTCCCCCTGACCAATCAGTGACCGACAGTGTTCTGATGTCACGTTTTAAGTCCTGCTTGGCCTCAATGGAACCGCAGAGAAGTAGGTACTGAAAAAACAGGCTGGGTCCACGATGAAGGCCCTGTGGAAAAGAACACGGAACTGGCTGGAGCAGGGTGAAGTGGGGCCAAGGAGGAACTGTGGAAAAGGGGCTTAAGTGTCCTGAGCCACATGTGAGCACGGCTAACTACGGGTCACTGCTCCAGGATCCCAGCTCCACACAGTCACCTGAAATAAGCTGTAATGTAAGTAGACCAGCACTTACTGGCTGATGTTGGCTATGGTGTCCATCCAGCTGCGGATGCGAACCTTGTTGCGGATATTTGGCGGATTGCTGAACTCGTGAACTAAAGCAATATGATACGGATACGGTCCCTGGAAGAGCTGCCGCTCCAACGCCACGGAGTCGATCTGAGGAGAACAGAGAGAAGTGTGACATCACACTTTGAGTGACCAAACTCTGGACATGCAGTTTACGCAACTTCATTAATCTATAACCTGACTTGGCTGTAAGTAAACCTTAATGTTTTTAGTGCAAGACATCTAAGTGGGCAGGAGTTCCTGAGTAGGTAGTGGATTTATTTTTATTTATTTATATTTTGCTTGTCCATGGCAGCACAGAGTGATGGATCCTGTTAACCACCAGGCCAATAATTTGACGAAACTATACTTTAAACAATTTAAAAACTATAAAGCATAGTTTACTCAAATGATTGAGGTGGCCGGTTTATCTATATATGGTGGCAGCCATCTTAGATTTTGATGTGGCAACCCAGTTTTCAGTGGTGACCTGTCTGACACCTAGATACAGCCACACAGTAAAAGGGAAGTCGGTACCTCACTTAAGGTATCATGCTCGCAACACGGCTGGATGGAAAAACAAACAGAGGTTGTTTTTAATTCCCTGTCTTTGCTCAATAACAGGGGACAATTAAATAAAAACAACCGAAGGGGCTGCAGGCATTGTAGACCAGTGTTTAAGCTGTGCAGTATTCTGTTTTAAACTATGTTACAACCACAAACCTCAAAGTATTTTGACGGTGTACCATAAACACGATTACCTTTTCAATGGACAGCAAATAATAAACTCAGACATGGATGTGTCTACTTCCTGGAACAAAAGAAGCAGCACATCAGCGATGAACCCAGCAGTACACAAACCTGGTGCATCGGACGCATGTAGATGATGCGGTTTCTTTCAGGAGGCATCCGAAGGATCTGATCCAGAACCTGCTCCATGTCAAGCTTCTTACACTGAGCGAAGTCGAACCGGTTCACGATGGGCGCACGTTCGATCCGCAGCTGTTTCAACACTCGACATCGAGTGGCTGTAGAGAGGGCGAGCAGGTTAGATTTACACACTTGTTAAAACGGTTTTAGTAAATTATACTTTTTTGTTCATTTTCTTCCTCAGAAAACCCGGTATTTTACAAAACTCTCAAGAAAACCTGGAGTAGCTTAAAACACAACAAACAAAATAACCTGAAGAGTAAAGCCATAAAATTAAAGGTAGATCCAGATAGTTTGTGTTTTGTCATGTTTGGATATTGTATTTGTAAACACAAACCAGACAAATTAAATCGATGGATCTTTAGTTGGTTAAAAACAGAACTTTACCGTGGATGAACATCATTTTGGGACAATCTCTGAGGACCAGGTCGGTGATTCCACAGTTGGTCAGTGTGATGCCCACCAGGTTCTTACTCTTCAGGGTTAAAACCTGTTTCAAAGTGTAGAATGAACATATGCTGTATATATTCATAAATTAAACGGATTCTTTCATTTTTCTGGACTGTATAATGTCGTGCATTGAATTTAATAAAATGTAACGTGAGACGTTAATTATCTTTGACCCATCAAAATGAACGTGGTCATTTATTTACAGAATCAAAATTTAACATCACACATTTACATTAATTTGGCAAAATAATTTCAACAACAACATGGCTAATTTTGCAAGCTGTACAATTTGATTAACCATACGGCGATGGTTGAAAACCTTGCTTCACCACAGACATTTCTAAAAATATCTGGATTAATTTGCTAGCAGATAGAAAAGTTTAAAGATGGAAAATGAAGTTTAAGTTGAGAGAGATGGGTGAGGGAATTTGTCTGTTATACCAAAACAGCACGCTCCTTCTAGACCAGCTTGACCCAACGGTACACTTTGGTTGAGATCCACTCTTTACCTTTGCAGATGATAGTTTCAGCGTTGGTGTAGAGCTTTCCTTTCAACTCTTCCAGCGTCTCCGTAAGAACAGCTAAACCTCAGGAGTCGTGAGGTCATCCCAGAACAGACATTTCATAATTCCCTGATAATCTCTCGTTCAGCTTATTTTTCTTCCTCCAGCATCCTGAATTCCAGCCTTCTGAACTCTGGAACTGCTGGAACCAACTCACAGCATTCTCTCAGCGTTCTCCTCAGCGTTCTTCCCAGAACTGCCGAGAACTTCTCAGAACTACTGAGCTCTCCAGAACTTCGACCGGAGCTGGAACCTCTTGCAGAACTTCCTTGAACTAGGAAGTGTTGCACCTTTTAAAAAAGGTCACTTCCGGTTCATTTGAGAACTTTCTGATTGGTCGATGGACCAAAGCAGAGGTGTGTTTTTGTGATGTAAGGTGTTATTAAAAAGTCAAGGAAAAAGATTAAGTGTTTAAGAACAGACAGAAGATTGTTATGAAGAACTCAGACTTCGTGGAGTCAATTCTCTAGTATCTTCCTGTAAAAGTTAAACATGACATTTCTTTTTCAGTAAACTTGCAGTTGACCGAAACTTGAACTTTGACCAACTTACACAACTTGCTCATTTCAGACAGACGATCAAGAAGTTGAATCATTACTCTGTAACAAACCTTAACATGAATTCTACTTTGCATGAGGATTAAAATCATTATTACTGTTTCACAGTTGATTTAAAAATGAGTAGTTCACTTCAACATTTAAAAATGGTTTGAACTAACACAATTTGATTATCAAACATTTGTAAAATAGTAATGATAATAGAAAGTAGTGTTCTTTCACTTGATTAATTCAAGAAAGAAAGTCTCAGGATGGGTCAACCTGTATTTCTGGATTCAAATCAATGAAATGACAGTTTCTGTCCCATAAGGTCCTTAAGGTCAGGATTTGACCTCAGGCCTAGTTCACTACAAAAGAAAACACAAAGTTTGTTTTCTCAGTCATCCAGGTATATAACAACAAAAAAGGTTGAATCATGTCATCTGGACTTCGTTTTTTTGTTAAAAAGAAACGTTTCGCCCCTCATCCAAGAGGCTTCGTCAGTCTGAGGCCTAGCCATCTGGTATTACCCAGAAGCCACCCTGACTCTTGTGTTTCAAGCCTGCCTCAGATACCCCTGAAGTCTGGCCTTTTCACT